GAATTAGTTTGAATTAACGTGAATTAATTTGAATTTGAATTTTTGGTGTACACCAAAAATGGTACTTGTTTCCCCCTAGGTACCGTGCTCCGATATTTGCGAGATATCCACAATGAAGTTTTTACTTCGCCAATAGATGTACCTATCTGGTCTAGACGATCTTTCCACCGTTTGAGAGTACCCTGGTAGAAATTAATTCCTTTCGTTGCGATCTTTCATTAGAATACCATGAAAAGTAATTCCCCCCCCCCCCCATATTATAAAACATTCCAGGACTCTAGGATTATTTCCCTAAGTAGTTCAACACGGTAGAAGTGGGTCCGGACGGACGGACAGACGGACAAAACGCAAATAATGGCACATTTTTTTCATTCTTAAAAAAAAGCGCTAAAAATACTGAAAGAAAAAAAGAATTTAAGATAGGAACAAGGACACAGTCGATAGCCAACCGATAGAATTGAGTCTAAAAGAGAAGACAAAAAGATCAAGAAATGGAAAGATACAAAGACGAATGAAGGTACACTGTGCAGCCTTGTAGAGGGAGACTAGAGAACAATAAGAAGTAGGAGAGAGCGCAAAGGAGTGGAGAAAGATGAAAGGGGAGTATTAAAAAGGTGGAAACAGGTAAATTAAGGGTAAGAGTGGGATAAACGATAGGAGTGGTGGGGTAGAGAATGTACATAGAGTGATGCAGATGCAGAACAATGATAGAGAAAGAAAGAGAGCAAGGAGTTCAGAAATCAGAAAAAAGTTCCTACTTACAAAAGAAAATGTACGGGAAAAAGATGAGGATACAGAAAGTAATAATGAAGAAAAAATCTGCGCAACAAAAACAGCGAAGCGGATGATGATAAACATCAGAGGAAAAGGGAAAAACGTAACAAGTGGAAAGGAAATAGATACGAATAGTGGACCAGAAGCAGCACTTTATGCATTTACTACAGGGAAATCAGGAGAAAGAGGGGGTGGCATACGAGAGGAGGTGGAAGGAGACAGAAGACAAGAGGTTGTTAGAGGAGACACAAATGAGTTGTAAAAGAATTGGAAAACGCGTTTTTCGTGGATTTAAAGGGAGCGTTTGAGAGAGTAGAAAGGGAAAAATGATGGAAGATGGGGTCAAGGAGTTATATAGAGCGACAAGAAGTTGAGTAATGATAGGAGAGAAGGAGTCTGAAGTGTTCTGGACATTAAAAGGACTGAAACAAGCCCAACTGCCCAATCTTATTTTACTCATAACAGATATCGATAAAATACGAGTATTAAGGGTCAAAGTAGAGGAATTGTAGTGTGAAGAAAGAAGATATGGTCACTGGCTTACGCAGACGACACAGTAATAATGGCAACAGAGGTAAAACAGATGATGGAAATGATGGGAAGAATGAAGAGATATTTTGACATCTCTACCGAGTCTGTCGCAAGCGGATGGATTGCAAGCTTCAGAATTCCGGGAGTCGAGAACGCAACAATTAGTGGCACTTTCTTCGATAGAAGCTGAATACATGGCGTTATCCTATGCAACCAAAGAAGCAATACACCTAAAAATCTGCTAAAAAATCTATTAGGAGTCTAGAAGCAAAAGGAATTCAATCAATATAGAGCACATACTAACCGAGGACAGGACTGGAGACAAAGGATGTTACCAGGAACAAACATGAAAATTGTGTAAAAGGACTATTTTGATTCGTTTTGTGTTTTGTTCAAGCTACTATTCCAACGATACTTAATATAACCCCTAAAACTAAGCTACCCTAAACATATACGAAAAAAATTAATCCCATTAACAGGCTCCCGTTACAGTCAATTAACCACAAGAACGTTTAACCAAACCCTGTTAACCATTACGTTATCCCATGCGTTGATAAGACAAAATTTGCAATTTTTTACTCGTTTTTGTTAGGTCTTAATTTACAAGAGATGCATCAAAAGTTAGTCGTTTATGTACTACTTGAAAATATAGTAGAAATTTAATTAGCTACTTGAACTTTACGATTTCAATTTTCGACTTGAACTTAATACGTGATAATAGAGAGTTGTGATTTGTGAAGTTTCCTATTTCAGGTGGAAAATGGGTAATGCACTACTCCTAGTCCCGTCGGACGAGGCGACACTCGTGAAATCTAGAATTTGTTGTTTACGAGCGGCAGTAAAATTACTACCAAGGGGTGTCTGAGATCAGCGACGTGAATAGCACAACGGGGAAGGAACGTCACCGTTAAGATGCGAATTTGAAGCTCCATAAAATTTTGTTTTTCTTGTTTACCCGTCGTCTCTCACGTGGAGAGCGTATATTATAATATGCAAAATGCAAAATTCTCATTTTGCACAGTTCAAAGTGAGCAATGCTTTCTCCGTCATCCTGGTATGTGAACATATATTGTTATATTATTAATTTCGCCTTTATTTCAATCTTGTTTACGAAATTTGGTACCTAATTGAGTTACCTACTGATTCGATTCAATTCGATTGCTTACTCAATCAACTAACTACACAAGACCTCGAAATCGACGAAAAGAATAGGTGAGAGTGGATGTATCGTACTGCAGTTCATCATCAAAAACTGCCATATTGTACTATAAGAATCGATCTTTAATGTTTCAGCTCTGATAAAAAAAGCCCCTACGCAAATCCATTTGTTGTTGTGGAAACTAACCGTTAAGATAAAATTAGTTGAATCATGCAACGAAAACTAGAATTCAAATTAAATTTCTTTGTATGCAGCTAACCGTTAAGTAGTCATCCTAGCCACTAGCCGTTCATCCTTCCTGATTACTTTGGACTTTTCCCTTCAATTGTCAATACAAATATATAAAAATGCGATTATCTTATTTTTATAATATCAACCACCCCTAGCTCCTGGTGCATGTGACTCGATGCCGGGCTGCTTGGCTAGCGTATTAGGAAAACTCCGTTACCTTTCCGAGGAAAACAGCTTGCTGTTTCTCGGACATTTTTCGAGATTATACAATTTACGTACTCCAAGGGAAAAACGAATTTTATGATCCATTATGGTTCAAATTCACGCTGATTTTCGAGCTAATTTTACACTTCCGCTATCGGTAATTTGACTCACTTTCTCTTGATTACCAGTTTTCCAAATTTTTACAACCAAAATGACTGTTGAACCAATAAAAGTCAACTCCCTTGACCAATCCCACGTTTATTAAAGCAATTGCCAGCAACCTGGGCAGTTAAAAAATCCCGAGTAATCATCTCATCTCTCATGCTGCTTCGTGAAGCGAATCCAAATCATCAGAAACTGACACGTGTAATTGATTAACTCTTTCTCCAAACCGGTGCTCCCAACTTTTGCACGCAATTAATCGGCCAGTGACGCATCTGGTAACCATAGCACAACAAGTCTATTGAAGAACTAGTAACCGAAACAAAATTTCCCTATAATGGAACCACCCTGTATACCTTACAATATTCAACCCCTAAAACCGCGTAACCCTAAAGAAACTAAAAAAATGCACCCCATTAAAGAGTTCCCGTTAGAGCATCTAAGTATCGCACTCTTTCCTATTTTAATAATTATTTGCGTAGCAGAGCTCCTGATGGACCCTTCGCACTAGTGTAAATAAAATTGAACGCATTTCTTGACCGAAGCCACCGAAAAATATCCCCAACTCTAATACGATTTGCTGTCAAGAAAATGTAATCGGCAGTTTGAAGAAAATCTTGAAAATGAGCAAGAGGAACTTTAGGAGGCCATAACAAATCTGCGAAGAACTTGAAAGGGATTTTATGGAAGCACTCTTTCATTTAACTCGCATTTTTAAACAATAATGATAATAATGAATGCTGATAAGTCATATGTAACTTATTAACGAGCTCCTACCGAGTTCATGATTTTGGACTTTCTGTCCGTCCGTCAGTCTGTCCGTCCGTCTTTGGACCAGATAACTCCCGAACGGTTTCGAATTTTCCAATTCTGTTTTCAGTATTTTGTTTTCCCGATTCAATTACGCAAAACCATACACATTGTTTTATCGTGTAGCTACTATGGTCAAGTCTACCAGATGCTGTTACTGAATTGATTGTCCGCTTTTAATGGATTTCAGGGTTTTTTTGAACGGTCGAAATACATAACCTCTTTCAATTAATCGATTGTAAAACGAGGGTCACACTTGCATCCAGACTGGCCACAAAAAAAAGAAGGTCGTTGGCGGCTGAGGGTGGCGATCGGTCGGTATATCATGTTACATATACGGGATAAGTTGTAAAAGGGGACATTCTGTTCTTACGTCTCGTTGGAATTAGAAGTTTTGCATAAGCGTAAATAAATTCTGTAGTTTTTTTATATTTAGTTTTTATTACGACACTTTTTCGAATAACCCCATCTAAACAAACGTTTTTCCCTTATCGATTGGAAATTTGGAAACGCAATATATGCGTAATATCTAACCGCATAAATACTGTGATATGACAAAAAACAACTTAACAAAATTGGCTCAGGAAGAATTTCGTTTACGCATGTATAAAATTACTGTTATAGGAAATGATTTCCGCTATACGGTTTTTGTTAAATCCGAAGTTATATTCTGAAATAACAACGAAATATCAGATATATGCAGGGATTAAAAGCTGAACTAACTTGCGTCGAATCATAAAAATTTATAGCCATGTTTTTTTTAGATATATTTTATTGTCATTTTTTACACAAGTTCGTGACAAATTGCTGAACAGAAAGGTTCCTGTCCCGAATACATCCCAACGAAGCTATTCGCGAAAGGGTTTCAAACTTTCGTTTTAGTAAATGGTATGAATAAACATAGTTAGTGCAGTCTCTTTCAACTGAAAAAATTGGTTATACCTAAGCTCTCTAGAAACGTCTTCATCTCAAGTAAGAATAAAGAGAAAAGGCAAGCAATGACATACACAGAATTTGTAACTATAAACGAAGTGTTTCATCTAACTCTGTTATATGCAGCCCTGGAAGTATAGACCTGCACAGTTGTATTCGCATACTTTTAATGACAAATCGTAGTAGGGGTGTGAATAGTTCTGTGACAGTCAAATCAGTCATCTCGCCCGTCAAAACCTGGTAGGTATTTTCCTTCCGCAATTTTCACCAACAATTAATACCTTTTGCAATTTCAGATGCATCTTTATTATTACAAAAATTCTAGTTTAATGTACACTACAGTAGCTTCGCTCGGATACCTGGCGGGTATTAGTATTTGAACGTTGCATGCATGGTTTACTAATGGAGTACCCCTTTTTAGCAGGTTTCATCTGCACGTTAGTGTTAGTGGCCTTCGTCATCCAACTAACATTTCTGATATACTCGGCGTCGCTGCTATATCTGTAACAAATCGCAAGAACACACTTACTAAAAACTTGGAATAAAGATGCACAACTACGCTTGTATTTCTTTGGTAGAAATCTGTCGGATAGGCAAATAACTAGTAGTTGGAGGTTTACCACATATCCGCTTGTGAGGGACATAGGTTTCGCTACCGAATCTGGCAAAGTAGAGATCGTTCGGGTGATTAAGGAGTTATCTTCTACGGCTGTCAACAAGGCAAAAATAAATAAGTAACCGGGATAGACGCCACTCAGTATTATAGAACATACTTACTGAGGGGGAACTAGGTAGACTAAGGCATCCTTTTCTGCTCTTGATAAAGCTAAAAGGGTAAATAAATTGAATGTGTGAATCACTCAAAATATATCAGTTACAACCCTTATGCACAAACGTTGTCTCACGGAGTTAAGATGGTATGACACTTTGAATCCTGGTCACGGTCGTCTGAATTCAGAAAGGCGTTCTCTGCCAATAATCTGCAGTCAGATATACAGGGTGTTTCGAAATTCGCGCACACGGACTATGGGATGGTATTATACGACAAAAACTGAACAAAAAGTTCCTCTACCAGTTTTCCATCAGACCGCTATTTTTCGAACTACCGCGGTTTTAAAAATCTCCGCCCCCCTTACGCTGCGCCCACTGGTTAAACTTAATAATAACACATTTTTAAAAACAAAAGAAGGTTTAAAATAAACTATAATTATGACGAGTAGGTACGTAGTTACAACAGTTGTTCAAGATGTCCGCTGTCTGGTAGTAAACAAGCTTCAGCAAAAAGTGCCGGTCTGATAAAAAAACTGGTAACGAACCTTTTTATTCAGTTTTCCTTGTATAACACCGTCCCACAGTCCGTGTGCGCGAATTTCGAAACACCCTGTAAACACAAAACAAAAGAGTGGCATATAAAGTGCGAGAAAAAAGGAACGTTTAGTCCGTGGAGCAACTCGAATACGAAAAATCATAACTAACATTCCATGGAAATCAATTCAATTTCCGCGAGATAGCAAAAGCAAAATGTTTACTCGACACGAGTTCTCGATATAAACGGGAATTCACCCGTTGTTAGGGAGAAGTGTAAAGGTGGGTTCATAGCTCTCCGTTCATCCGTTGCGTTGATCCGTCAAACGGATAGTACATTTTGTTAAGGTTCATAGCAATCCGTCCACATTGTACATTTGCAAGTATAACCATAACCTATACTTTATTTTGTACTGTACCCTCCGTCATTTTCAGTATGTAAAAATGGTACGAAAGTAAGAACACATTGCTATCTGGTTATTACCGTGAAGAACGAATAGGCGAACGCTATTAACGTACCAAACATAACCTCACTCTTGTTAAAAACGGACCAACAGAAACGTAAATGTTCAACTTCAACCAACTTTTCCGTCGTAAACGGACGACGTATGATTTAAAAATTTGCTGTCTTCTGATTGGCTAACGGAAAAACGGAAACGTATGAACGGAGAGCTATGAACTTACCTTTAGAGATTTTGTTCTTAGTCAAATAAATGCCAGAAAAAAATAGTACGTAAAATGGAAAAATCCAATTTTGTCAAAATATTTCAAAAACCGGAATTTTTCAGGAATTTCTAAACGATATCTTCTTAGAGCTTTGATTGCGAAACTTTTCTCCGAGTTAACCAATTTTTTATATCTTACTGTTTATCCCCCTCCTTATTTCGGACATAGAATTGGTACGTTACAATTAATTCACCTCTGGTTAATTTGGGGTGGCTCTTCTTTTTTTTATATTCATGTGCCTCGGCTTCTCGTCGGTTAATAACCCTCTTCTGGCCTTTGGAAAAGGATAAAGGGTAAATAGCAAGTCAATAATTTTTATGAAAATATGCAACGGTTTTTATTTTCTTAAAAATTGACCTTAGCTGTAATAGAACACATATGAGTACATGAGGTTGAGGTGAAATAATCCTGAGAGGAGAGGGTCAAAGGGCATTCATTCCTACGATCGCATTTCGCATTGATAGGAAATGTTCCACTGTATTGGTAACTGAAATTAACGATCTTGAAACACAAAAGGAATTTATTATATTTAATAAATAACATTATAGTATAATTAAAGTAGAACCAACAATATACGTTAATATTTTAGATTTTCAGCGCAATAACATTTTTACAAGAAATGGCATTCAATAATACCAACTTGATACCAATCGCAAAATACGCGAACGCGAACTCGATTAGCGCTTTTATACACAACTTTCTTTCAATAGTTTATAAATCTTTATAATCAACTACAACGCAAACTAAAACCACGATAATCGGCAAACTACAACGCGCACGAACTATAATTGCTCGTAAATACTTTTTGAATGTTAGTGCACCAGGAGTTCGAGATACTCCTTGTCGCTGCTTCAATGCGGGAGTGATTTTAATCCGCTTGTTGCACTTGGGTTTGGTTCGGAATGCACAGATTACTTCAGATTTCTCGCAGCCTAAGTTTAATACCGCATGGACCGCTCACAGAATAGAATGGATGTTACCACCACGTCAGTAGGCGTTGCAACACCGGCCCAACCACCAACTAGCGCCGCACCATTGGCTACTACACCCGACATTTAGACTGCCGACGCTTTATAAGCAGCACCATCGGCCAACGGAAAACACCTTCGTTTATACAGGGTGTCCCAGAAGAAATGGGCAGTATTTTGGGAAATTAAAGCAGAGGATATTTGTAGAGAAAAACGTTAATAAGCTACTGTACTTTTATTCTCAACCGCTTCGAAGATATAGCCTGAAATTTTCGCAATTGACGCATATGAAACAACAACACATTTTAATTTTTCTGAATTAGAATTTATTTTATTATTGTAAATAAATTGATTAAGCTTATTTGAAAGTGTGTGGTGTTGCCAATTATTCAACAATTTCTAATAATTATATCAATCCCAATAATATAAAATAAACAGAAAAAGTAATGTCTACACTTTTGGCCCAATTCATATGCGACTGGGCTCTAAATTCTGTCATCTATAAAATAAACGGTTGTCATCCACCCAATACAAATAAGCTATAAAAACAAATAAGAAAGATAAAAACTGCACAAAGGCGCTACCGCAAAGATCTGTTTGTATATACCTAACCATTCCGTGTACGATTGTTAATCTTTTTTAGCGAATAATCCTGCTGCGTTCTCAGTTTCAAAAAAAGTGCGATGTATGGAGATATAAAAAAAAATATTGGGCAAGAAAAAACGTCATTTAAATTTTTGCTCGAATAAGGTATCGTAAATAGGACCTTGTCAGCTAAAAATTGTAGAGGGTGTACGATTTTGTATCCTCTATGTATTTCTATCACTAATCAAAAACTGCTCACCAAGTCTTACTTGTAATTACAGAACAACCGTTGAACTTTTTCATCAGCGGTTTAATTATTTATATGGATTTTTTAATCTTTTGTTGCTAATGAATTACATTACATCCGGATTTGCGGTTTACGAAGGTGAAAATGAAAAAGAAAACTCACCCTGTATGTTGTTGTGTAAACTAAATCAGGCGGTCGTTTTATTTGGCTTCGGCACATGCAGTAACGATGGAGCACGTCCATTTCAGTTTTATATTTTGACGTGAATTGTGATTATTTATTGGAGATCGGGTTACTTAATTGGAGTCAATCCGGATTATTTGATGTTTGGTTTTGTTTAAATAATTGTTTTGTTTATTTTGTTTTGCTGGTTGTGGGTTTAAATTACGTTTTAAAAGACTACATTTATTGAATTAGGATTACTTGCGTAGTATTTGTAGAAGCTTCCTCCAGTCGTTGCGATAACAGTCCTTGTCGATGCGTTAGTTAATTAGTTTTAAGATAAGCGCGTGTTATCGCCGCGCTGAGCAGATGTTCGTTGTGACGATGCATTAATTTGTTAAGGAAGTGGAGGCGGAAGTTGAAAACAAAGGGAAAGAGGAAGACGTCAATCGTAGCCGTTTGCTTTGGTCTAATGCCAAAAGCGCGCGAAGTCGCAATAACGTGGTATTTACGAGAGAACGCATTATCGACTATCGCGAACTGATTAGAATTATTAATTTAATAAAAGGTAAACTTCGTTTTTGGCTGAGTAATAAAGACATAATCAATAGCGGGTTATATGCAATACTTTTGAAGCAATAATTGTTGCCTCTAAAAGATATCACTTTCAGGGGATGATTTTGGGGGAGGAGGGTTTAACTGCACCTGCATAAGCAGTCATTTCTTTTGTGAGTTGTGTAACTTTGCGACTACTAGTTTCATAATCTTATGTCTGAATGTCACTTAGTTAATTTATATACAAGGTGTCCCATTTGTGTTGACAGTCGATTATTGCGGAGGTTAGCCGTACAAGTCTATTAAAAATTTATTTGAGTTTAGATTAGAGGTACTTCCGCCAAAAGCTACTATGAGAAACCACACTTTCTCCAACTGCATGAAGAAAATATATTTCGAGCAAAATGAAAGAGGCCCTACAATCTATCATCTGCGAAAGAAAGGAAATTTAATAATACTAACCCAGAAAAACAACAGATCCAAGATTGGATTCGTTATTTATTCATTATCCCATCGAAGGTTTAACCAGTCTTATCATGTCTAGCGTGGCATATTTGATTTAGTACACCTCTACAGAAAATTTGCAGTACAACGGAATCGACACAAATTCATTTGAAGGTAGCGAAATCTTTTTCCCTTCGCCCTTCGCGGAAATGTATAAACCATTTTAATTATCCAGAGTGGAGGACTCAATTTGTACTAATTACCCTCCTTCCACCTTATCACGGTTTTAATTTAAATTTAAACTTCTATAGCCTTGTACTTGTTTTCCGAAGGAAGAAAGAGCCGACGTTTCTCTACTATTTTTAGTATTTTTCCGTTCGTGGGCGAACTCCCCAGGCGCGGCTACCGAGGAAATAAATTTAATAGCTTATATGGTTGTCGAGTTTGAAATGCTGCTGAATACGTAACGGCTAAGTTGAAATCGCAACAACGTAAGGGTGGAAATGTAATTTTGCACTTTCCTATTGATTATATTCCGCCACAGTAAAATGGACCCCCGAGACGAA